CCTCACCTGCTCCTGCTATGTCGTCCGCTTTTGTTTCGGGTTGTGCAGGTGTGGCTGTATCCTTCACGGCAGGCTCTCTTGTTGCTTCGGCTGTTGCTAATGGAACTTCAGATGCAACTGCTTCCCTTGCAGCCTCACCTGTGGCTGCACTAGCATCTGCTTTAAGCTCTCTTGGTGGTTCGGCTGTTGCTGTTGGAACTTCAGGTGCAATTGCTTGCTTTGCTTCAGCCTCACCTGTGGCTGCACTATCGTCCGCTTTTTCTTTGGGGTGTGCATCTGGTGTGGATGTATCCTTGACGGGAGGCTCTCCTTGTGGCCTTGCAGCCTCACCTGTGGCTGCACTATCGTCTGCTTTAGGCTCTCCTGGTGCTTCGGGTGTTGCTGTTGGAACTTCAGATGCGGCTGCTTCCTTTGTTCCAGCCTCACGTGCTCCTGCACTATGATCCGCTTTTGCTTCTGGTAGTGCATCTCGTGTGGTTATATGCTTTGCAGCCGGCTCTGCTGATGGTGTGGATCTTGCTGTTGTAAGGTCTGGTACAAGTGCTTCCTTTTTTGAAGCTTCACCTCCTGCTGCTACATCGCCTGCTTCTGCAGCTGGTTGTGTGACTGGCATGCTTGGTTCCTTTGTAACAGGTGATGCTGTCGCTGTTGCTGTTGCAACTTTAGGTGAAAATGTTTCTTTTGTTGCAGCCTCACCTGCTGCACTCTCGTGCGCTTTGGCGTTGGGTTGTGCATCTGGCGCGGTTGCGTCCTTCGTAGGACGGTCTATTGATGGTGTTGCTGTGGCAACTTCAGGTTCTTTCGTTTCAGACTCATATGCTCCTTTGGCTGTTGCTTTGGCAGCTGCTTGTCCTAAGTGTGTAGCTGTTGGCATTGCTATTGTGGGTAGGGTTGCTGCTTCCCCTGGTGCTTTTCCTTCTCGCTGGGTTGGTTCCTTCACAGGTTGTCTTGAAAGAGTAGCTGTTCCATCTTTGGTTGTCCGGTGCTGCAGCTTTGCTTCTGCCTGTGCGTCAGGTGTTTCAGCTGCTGGAGTTGCCATGGTTACTGGTCGTAATGTGTCTGCATGCACTGGCGCTTCGGGATCAAGTTTCCCAGCAGTTGCTGCTGCTGTGACTGTTGTTGCTCTTGGGACTTGTGGCGTAAATGTTCCCTCTGCTTGTCCACTTTGTTCTGTGATAGAACCCTTCTCCAAAGGGCCTTCCACTGCTATGCCTCCTTTGGTTTCTGCATCTTCAGGTGTAAGTGCTTCCGACTGAGAAGCTTCCCCATAACCAGTGGCGGCACCTGTTGTTTCAGCTTCTGGTGCTACTGCGTATGCCGCTGGCTCTGAAGGTGAGGCTCCTGTTGCAGTCCCACCTGCAGCTGCTTTGCTTGTTTGGACTTGTATACTAACATGCAGTGAACCGGGGTCACTTGTTGTCAGACTTGCACCACGTGCCATGCCTCTCTCTGTCGGCACCGAAGATGCAGCAGCTTTTTGTGTACATGCCCCAACTGTTGTTGCCACCGCATCTCCTCTTGTAGCCTTGGAATTACCACAGAGAAACAAAAGTGCCCAGAAGGAAAGGAAGTGCTTGAGGATTCTCTCAAACTGTTTCAGTATCGTTTTGCATCGGCTAGGTTCAACAAAATCTTCTGGCAGCTCTGCATAGTTATACACCTCTCTCTGCTCGGTCAAATGCCCCAGAGTGAGCATCGTCGCGTGCTGCTGGCATGCTTGCCAGAGGTACCTTCCAGCTAAAGTGACAAAATCCTGATTCTTCGTGCATTTAAAGCACGCATAATCCCTAAACAAGCCAAAGTGAACCCCAGAAAGCTGCAGAGCAGTGTGCTTGCAACATATTCGACGATCCTTGGTTCTGTGGCCCTCCTCGTGGTATCGGCAGTATGTTCCAGAACATGTAGCGGTAGAAAGTCAGAGGTGCTTATCACTTTGCAAGACTTTAGTTGAGTAACTATGCATATATATATATATGCCTCTGGCTTAGGGGGTGCTCTTAGGGTAGGCTCGGGCAACGACGTGGCGTGCAAGAGGAAGTGATGGGGCACCATCGGGGAAAAAGAAAATTCGTTGCGCGAAGTTGACATCGCAGCCACAGGGAGAGGGGGTAGAAATGGACAGTAGAAGATATAGGAGGTCTGGGGGGGGGCGCCCTTTTCTGTCCTTGTTTGGGGTGAATTTTGAAATGAAAAAGGGCGCCCCTCAGGAAGTGAGGCGCCTTTGTCGGCAGCGTGTTCCGAACCAGGGAGCAGAGACGGCGGCGGGGGTGCACGTGCGAGGCAAAGGGTAGGGTAGGTGAGGAGGTCCCTGTATAAAGACATCAGTGTGCAAGGTAGAGTCGCAAAAGAGCAGCAGGAAGGATATGGGAGCGACGTGCGGGTGGAAGATGAAGTGATAGGCTAACATTATATAAAGAGTACGTGTATGGGGTGAAGTTGGCATCGCCGGTGCGTGATAGTGGGTAGAAACAGGCGGTAGAAGTAAAAAGGGGGGTGCCCTTTTTCGTTCTGGTTGAAGAGCGTTTTGGAGGTGAAAAAGGGCACCCTCAAAGATTGCACGTGAGTTCGTCAGCTGCGTGTTGGTAATGAGTGACCAGAGACGGTCGGCAGGCTTTCGCGAGGACATATACTCACTTCGTTCGCTCCAACCATTTGAAGCCTTGTCTACCGGGTGGCTTTCGTGATTAAATATATCGGAAGCAAAAGGTACACATATG